AGGGATGATGTGTTAATGGTACGGGGTAGCCCCAGCCACTTCCTGATGTAGCTGTTACACTTTCTTTCGATCATCTCAACTCTTGACAGAGCAACAAGTAGATTTGAGACGGTTCAACGAGAAACGTTATTTTTGGGTGGTGAGGAATAAATGTTCATTTGACAAGTTTTGATATCATACATTTTTCTGGACCGACATCATCAAGGCATGAGCTAGGTTAAAAATGACAGCGTACATGACGGCTCCTAGCGACTGTAAGCAGTTGTCGGTCAATACACATCAACCTCTGAGGCTGAGATGACACCTAAGGGTATTTAGGCACACATAATAATATACATGTAAGTTGTAAAGCGCATAGAGCTTGCTGTTGAGCGGGAATTTGCACAATACATATTGTATTTACTTGACCTATTGTCCTGTCTTGTGCGTTTGCGTGAGTGCACCTTTAAGCCTAACTTTTGTAACGTCTACTGCCATTGTTAACGACCAAGACAAATTTCTCCCTGCGAGATGAACAAAGATTGTTATTGTCATGCAAATGCTGTTTATTATTATTTGTTTTCTGTAATTGGCATTATTCTTTCTCCTCTCCAGTTCCCAGTGAACACATGGTTCTTCCACCGAGACCCCAAGATCTGGGACGACCCGTGGACGTTCCAGCCTGAGAGATTTCTCGATGCTAAAGGCATAATCCTGCCAGCCACTCACCCCGTGCGCAAACAGTGAGTCTCACTTCCGTCGTGACTTCGCTACCACAGAATTACAAAGTTCTATCTGCTCAGAGCCTAGTTTTGAGAAATTTTACGTAAAAAATTTTATTCTCAGTTTTATAACACGTCAAGATTTTACGAATGCAATTCTTTGAATACATTGATAACGACTAAGAGTCTTAACATTTTGATAGACGAGACAGAACGTTTGGTTTCTGATCTTATGGTCTTAGTAACTCAAAACAGCCAAAAATGTCAGATAGAACTTTGTGATCCAGAGGTAGTGATTGGTGATTTTTCGCAATCCACAAATGGAGATGTCTGCTGAAAATCGACGAATAAAGTTTGTAGATTTTCAGTTGAAGTCATTTTCTTAAAGTTTGATACTATGTCTTTTATCATTAGTATATAATACAATGTATCACACCAATCTATAATTTGACGCATCTATCTGTATCCATAGAAGGCTAAAAAAAATCCGAGAAGTAACTCATTTTGTCAGCGCTTCACATTTACTGATGATTATCTTCCATTATTGCTGTGTAGATCTTGTTCCAGCACTTCATGGGAAAACGGCACATTTAGTGTAGGGGTTACACCATAGGCCATCACACGCATGAAACGTGAGTTAGATTACCATGCATTGACGGCTGGCTTGAAGACCGCCTCGTAAATGATTTAAATTGTGTCGATTTGGGGTACAAAACAAAACCGTTATAAATCTTAAGCAATGCCTGGAAACACCCAACCACAGTTTATTCAGATTGTGTTACAGTCAAACCTTAAGACAAAACACCTGTATAAGCGACCATTTACACCCCCCCCCCC